AGATTGATGCTTCATGCATGATTGTTTATATTAAAATTATATCTTGTGTTCATGTTTTATTGATATACTGCTTAGTTAGGCTGACTCTACCATCTTTTTTTTTATTCCAGCGTATGACAAAGTTGAAATCTATCGTATTGAAAAAGTCTCTCAATTTGATCGAAACTCCAGACTTCTCAGGTGCTCCAAATTTAGAACATTTACATCTTGGTGGATGCACATCTCTTGTCAAGGTTCATCCCTCCCTTGGACAGTTGGAAAAGCTTGTTGAGGTGGACTTGAATCATTGTGCAAACCTTGAAATCCTACCAAAAAAATTGGAAACAAATTCTTTGGTGAAGTTAAACCTTAGGGGGTGTAAAAAAGTTGCAAAGCTCCCAGAGTTTGGGGAAGGTATGAAAAAACGATCATATCTTAATGTGGATGCTACTTCTATAACTAGACTTCCTGAATCAATTGGATCCTTGACGGCTCTTGAATATTTAAATTTGAGTGGCTGTAAAATTGAAAACCTTGACAAGTTATTGAAGACTCACATAAGTCACCAAATTTCCGGCTGGAATGTAACGTCCTTAACAGAGTTATATTTAAGCCAGTGTGGCTTAGATGATGGATCGATTCCTGATTTTGACAGTTTATCATTGCTCACTGTATTGGATCTAAGCTTTAATGATTTTGAGAATCTACCCATTGGTTGCTTCTCTGGTCTTTCTCGACTTGTCTTCCTTTCATTGAATTACTGCAAAAGGCTTAAGTCGTTGCCAACGCTCCCACCACGATTAATTCGATTACATGCCTCCGGTTGTGATTTAATGGAACCATTATCATCAGATAGACAATTATGGGATTTGGTTGCTTCACTTGACCATGAGGTATGCGTTTCTCTTCCTACAACCTCTAATGTGTATTTTTCCCCCTTAAAACTGCAATTACATAACATGACTAATTTTTTATTTCAGTGTCGTGGGCGAACTATCGATGATGATTGGGATGAAGATGGGCTGGAAGATGTTCCTTCTGTGCTATATCAGGTATGTGTGTCTTATTTTTGTGTTTTTTTTCCCCACATATATGCTCCCTTCATGGGTAATTAATATTAATAACATATTATTTGATATGTTTGCAGAGACTTAAATGGCCTTCCAGAGATTTCTGTGCAAGTCTTCCAGGATACAAAATACCATCATGGTTTCTAAAGAGAGAATATTGCCCTTTGGATGAGAATAGGGAATATAAGATTGAAGTGGACATACCTCCATATTTTCGTGACAGTGAATGGTGCGGAATTGTTGTGTGCTTCCGTATGTCAAGTTACAATGATGGTTCTGGGGTCGTTGGTTGGGGTAGTAAAGCTGCAGAAAGTGATGATTATTATATAATCAAAGAGTGGGAGCGTGCTATTCCTTATCCCTTTCGCGGAGAGCAGTGCATAATAATGGTGTTGGAATTAAATGAGGAAACATGTTGGCGGCACCTAAGAGCTCATCAGAGCAATTCCCTTCACATTCTATTTGCTTTTGAATCTAAATGGTTTGATCAAGATTATTGGGAAGCAGAGGAATGTGGGTGGAGAGTGATACGTAAAGAAGAGATACAAGATTGGCGCCATCTAAATGGTTTCTTCAACCAAGCCAACCAACCCAAGCTTGCTTCTTCTGATGAGGTCAAGCTTCCGATGAGAGCACTTGTAGAGTTCTTTTTGGGGGAGTGGTTTTGACTCGCTGATTCAAGAACCAGAGAAAAATGGACGAGAATAGGTAACAATGACTCATCGTCTTCCTACTCCTTCCATTCTAATATGATAGTTGTCACTCCAGGATATTTGTCTTTGTTTCAAAAAATTTTGTCATTTGATGAGGTTTTCAGAAAGAAACGGAATTTAATTAATTACCTGATCATAAATGAAAACTGAGCGCTTGTTAACATGAATAAAGGCATTTAATGAAGTGAAATACCATTGCATTTCGGTAAAATTTAAATCTTCTGTTATTTTCGTCAACACAAATCGAAAGTGATAATTCACCAGTGAAGAAAATCATTTCTCTATAAAATAGAACAAGTCAAGCTCCATATGCTTTATACGATGATGAACCCGTGGATTTCATGAGAACAGTAACTAAATTGTAGGCAACATGCATGAATCATTCCTCTCATATAGTAGTAGTACTTGCGAGGATGCAAACACAGGTGTCAATAACATAATCATATCACTTACCATAATAAACTAGAAAAAAACCGACAATAAAAAGAACCAGATTTACGAAACAGAGTGAAGCTTGGAAACCTTCAATTTGGCTGGAAACACCCTCCCCTATTTCCAATTTCGAAAGAGAATAAGATCCAAGTTCCATGCATAACTACAAGTTTATGTTAGTACATAAAACTATACGACTTGGCTAGACAAATTAGATAAATTGATTTAATATTGATCATATCAAATGGCAATAAAATATTTTGGTATATTACGTGTTGATGTATCACTTACAAAGAAACAGAGTATTTAAAAATAAAGTGAAATAAAAAGACACGCCTCAATGTGCATGAGCAATTTGTTCGCAAAATTAATTATGTGTTGGTATTAAAACCCAAAAAAAAAAAAAGAAGAAAAATTCTATCATAAGGATATGTTTATTTCAGGAAGAAGAAAAGAACAAATAAATAATAAACAGTTCAAGAAGAAGAGATAAGTAGTTCATAGTTAGACAAACATAAACATATGTTTGGCATGAATTATATTTTTATGATGAAATCAAGTTGCAATAAGAATATATAAATATATTTATGTATGTATGCATGCACATAAAATTGGTGGAAGCCATTTAGTTTACGATGGGTAATTAAGTGGCTCACCTATTGATTACTTGTTCTATTTGTTTATTGTGTATATAATATAATAGGAAATATATCATAAATAAAATTCTATTCTTGATCACAGTGAAATAAAGGGATGTGGGTGGGGAGTGATGTGTAAAGAAGAGATATACAAGAGTGGTGCCATCTCAATGATTTCAGCCAACTTCCTTCTCTTGATACTGACGATGTCAAGCTTCCTCGAAGATTGCTTGGCAAGTTCGCTGAAGCAATTCATTTGTTTGACCAAGATCAGGACTTTTAACCTCAAAATCATTTATAAATCAATCATAGAAAAGATTATTTTCAATTTCACATTCTAAAATATTTATGTAATTCGGTATGTTGCCTAAATTTCTTGCAAACAACCAAAAGAATAAACAACTTGTAGGGACAGTAATTAATCAAGAGAATTCTAGACATACTTAATTGGTGGAGGAAATTTTTCAAAATAATTAAGGGTTAAATCTAACAAAATATTTTTTTCAACAACATTCAAAATATTTTAAGATGTTGAATACACTAAATATTACTAAAAAATTAAGATTCTTAGTGATACTGAAAAATTAATTTAGGTTGTTGAATGAAAATTTTATGATGCTGAATGTATTTTAACCGAACAACTAATTTAATTTTCCTTGAAGGGATTTCACCACTTTTGCAGATCCATACGTTTGCTTGGACAACTTTTTTAACACACACATATATATATATGTATGTATGTATATAGGGAAAAGAAAAAATAATAATAAATGAATAAAATACAAGCACTAGTTAATTAATACTACCTCAAATCCTTAATGTAAGACCTCGTTTGACTTTTATTTTGGTCTTAAATATAAGACTTCAATCTCCTTTATCTCTTATATTTATGCATTTTTTCGAAAGTAGTCCTTCTAATAATGGTAGTTAGTTATAGCCAACACATTTGATTAGTAAGGATATTTTAGGAAAGATAACTCTTATTTATTACAAATAACTAACTCAACTTATTTCCTTAATCTCCTCAAATTAGTCATTGCATCAATTAAAGAATGTGAAGCTGGAGGAAGACCTCTATGATCATTCATGGTGAGCTATTGAATAAATGCTTCCAGTCCAGGGGCCATCAACAAACCACCAAAATCAATAGGCCTAGGTTCCCCTCCACTGCCATGAAACATGAAAGAAGGGCCAGAATTGAAAAAATCCTGACTCCATTCAGGAAATAATGCAGTATCAGACCTTTGTCTAACATCAATGTTGGGGAATTGCCCAGCTATTCTCTGCCTCATGAAATTGTCAAAAGCATCCACAAGCCCAAATCTAGGTTCAGAAACTCTCTGAGCCATAAAGGCATGTATGGCATAAAACAGATCAGGCATGCATGTGGAGAAGACCAACTTTACAATCCTCACTCACCAAGGAATCAAAAGGAAATCAATCAACAAACTATACTTGGTTACATAAAAAATAAAAACAAACAATATTCATGAACTTTAAGATTTTTTTTTGTTTTTTTGTCATTAGAGAATTAGAAAAGATCAACAGATCGGGGGGAAAGTAAAATGGGTCCTATTAATTTTATTTCTGGCCATTCTTATCTCCTTGTATTTATTTTTATTTCATCCGCGTATGAAAGAAATTTGGTAATAAGTTGAATTTGTGAGAAGAATGAAAGATACTTAGAAAGCATCCCAGTTGTTAGGTACAACTTCAACAAAACACCCAAAATTTGGTTGGCTTTATCATAATTCTCCAAGAATAATATAGACTCCATCTGCATATGTCTCTTCATAATGACAAGAATGAAAAAGGCCACTGATCATCATCATAACGAAGGGAAATAAATATAAACTCAAGTTCTCATCAAATTTGCATCACTTGCAGCAATCAGTATAGTATCAAATTCGTTTCACTCAGCTATCACATATATTTTAATTAATTTCATATACATGAACTATATCCATACTAAGAAGCTAGAAAACACAAGTGTTTCATTTTTCATATCAATAATCAATAACGTTATTAGATAGGCAGACTATACTTATCCTGAAGCATCGGTGATAAATGACAATCCTCTATAATCCCTCCTACTATTCTGGTCAAAATGTTTCAACTAGCAGATTAGATTGGCCACCAAGCTATTAGTGGATCTCGCCTCCCTAGGTTCTGTCTGTTGGGCTCCCGTCTCCTTAAGCTATCACGGTTACTGCTGCTACTGACATTCCTTCTTCCTCGTGTTCTACCATGGAAATTACCCTGTCTTAGAGGTGGCAGCTCAGAACAAGAGTTATGCTGAACCAACAAATTGAAGGAACAACACAATCAGAGTGATAAATATGGTTATCACAATAAGACACTTTCACAAATTTAAGAGTATGAGATTACAATTAAAAAACAACAGGGTTATCACAATGACAGAAGTAAAGAAAATGAAATAAATATGAGAAACATATCTCATACTATTACGTGCATCAAATTAATACTCATCACGAGTTAAAAACTCAATTATCAAATGCTTGAGAAAGATTAATTAAAATTAATATCAGAAGCACCGACCTCTGCTTGTGTTAACGTGTTGAAATCAATGGTGGGATTGCCCCAATCTTGCATCTCTTCTTTAGATAGCACCCGCCACCCACATTTCAATCGTGGGCTTTTAGAATATTGACAAGTGACGCTAAGTTTGATGTGAAGACAGTTACTATTTCCTCTTAAATGTTGCCAACATGTTTTCTCATTGAAATCTAAAAGCATTAGGCAGAGGCGAGGCTGCCAGGCGTACATAAGTGAAATTTCATTCTCCCATTCTTTGCAAATGTAATAATCTTCACGAGCTTTACAACTCCATGAAATGACAAGTTTATCACAGGTTGAGCTGTCTTTTATTTCTAGGTATACAGCAAGTCCAGACCATTTACTTGCACGAAAATATGGAGGGACGTCCACCACTAATTCATATTCCGAAGTACCACTTTTATTTGAAGGAATAGAGCCTCTGTTTGGAAACCATGACGGTATCTCAGATTTTGGCATTATTGCAAGAAAATCTGCCTCAGGTACATATCTCGACTGTCACAAAATTATTATAACTTTCATTGCCACTAATTACTTTGAAAATGAGAATGAAGAATACAGAGGAATACATTACAAACATTTATACCTGACTAGACTGGAGCATTCTTTTCTCATAATTAGTTTGATGGCGATACTAAAACAAGGAACAAAAAAAATCATGTTATATATCTATAGTTAAAAGAAATGGATAAATAAATCGATATACTTATAAGTTATAGTTAAACATACCTCATGGTCAAGTGATGAAAGTAGATTCCACATTCCATCTGATGATAAAGGCTCCATCGAGTCACAACCAGTTGCATATAGTTGCATTAACCTTGGTGGGAGTTTTGGCAGTGACTTAAGCCTCTCACAGTTATTCAAATAAAGATGAAGTAGTTGAAAAAGATTTGAGAAGCAACCAATGGGTAAATTAGCAAAATCATTTCCTTCCAGGCGTAAAGTAATTAATGATGACAAACTGCCTAAATCATCAGGAATTGATCCATCACTAATGCCACAGTAGCTCAAGTCTAACATGGTTAATGATGTTAGATTAAAGCCAGACATTTGAAGAACAAGTTTTCGGGGGCCCCTTAGATTCAAATCTCTAAGACCAGACAAGAATCCAAGCGATTCTGGAAGTTTGGTTATAGCAGTCTTCCTTGCATCAAGCACTGTTAATTTTTTCATACATTCCCCGAATTCTGGAAGAGTTGAAAGTTTATCGCACCAACTAATATCTAACTTTATCAAAGAGTTCATTTCCAATATTTTCGGAAGGATCTCAAGACTGGTACAACACGACAAGTTCACTTCAACAAGCTTTTTCAACTCTCCAAGTGAATGATGAACCGTAATGAGAGATGAGCACCCTTCAAGATTCAATTTTTCCAGGTTTGGAATTTCTGAGAAGTCTGGGGTTTCAACCAAATCTTTGGAATTGCTTAGATCAATAAACTTCAACTTCTTCATAAGCTGATCAAATGAATAAAAATGTAGGGGAATTAGTCTCACAAAACAATTGTATCGGTATCAATACAAATATGCAAGAAAACAATGAGGTATGAAGTGTTTCACCTGCATGCCATCACAGAGTTTTATTTTGCTAAAAGGCATTTGAATGTCGACAAGTTTATCCAACTGAGTTCCAATCGGAAGAGTTTCTAGAGGATACAACCTCCATCGAATAACCTTTAATGTGCTAGAAAAGCATTTGAGACCACTATGAAGTTTCACTTCACTTGATATGATGAGCAACCTTAGATTATACATCTTTGAGAAGGCGTCACGATGTACTTGTATTTTTCTATCAAGGTTAAAAGGCAAAGCCATAGCTTGTATTGCTTCAGATCCCTAACAAAATGTGCATTGCAAGAAAGCATAACATGAGAATGGTTTCAAATTAAAGTAAAGCGTACTAAAAGCATTAGAATTATTAAAACAGCATGTGAGCATTGAGACATGAGGCACTCACTTTATCATTTTCCAATACTTCATGGATGTCTTCTAGATTCCACAACCTGCTTCGTCCATGAACATGACCAGGAGATTCTTGAAAAACAATACTCCTGGCTAATTCTTGAAGTAGATCATGGACCTCTAATACGGTTTCTCCATTAAATGTCTTCTTCTCAATCAAGAGAGCTCTTTCAATCAAAATATATATTCCAATAGTTGGATGAAGATCACAATTTTTCAAAATTTGAGCTACTTCATCTCTTTTCCATCCATTGAAGAAGCAAGCAATATCTAAAAAAATTGTCTTTTCTTCATCATTCAATCCGAGATAACTTACTTTAAGAATTTGAAAAATATCTTTATCTGGAATGTGCTTCATCCTTTCTAAAGTTTCTTCCCACTCAAGGAGACTTCTGCCACATAGTAAGGAGCCTAAAACATAGAGTGCCAAAGGAATACCTCCTGCGTATTTAACCACAATTTCTGACAAAACAAAATAATCATCTTCAGGATGATCTTTCTTAAATGCTTTCTTGGAAAAAAGCTCAAGAGATTCATCTTTTTCCATGGTTTTGACCTCATATATTCTATGCACCCCATGTGATTTCAGTAGGTGCAATTTCTAGTCGTTATAATCACTCTACTCCCCGCCCCAAACCACTTTGGACTTGCCAAACTCTCTAATTGACTCACATGATTTGCATCATCAACGACAAGGAGAACCTTTTTACTCCGAAAAAGTCGATTCAAAATCGTTTTTCCACAATGCTCGTCATATATCTTTTGCCCTTTGTTGAGATGTAAAAGAATATCATTTTGTAAACTAACTATGCCTTTTCTTTCTGAAATCTCCCTAACATTAGCAAGAAAGCAAGATATTTCAAATTGGCCAGAGATTCTCTCAAAAACAAGTCTAGCAAGAGTTGTCTTACCAATGCCGCCCATACCCCATATCCCTACAAAACAGATGCTATCTGCCTCTATCTCTAAGAGAGCATTTATCTTAACCATCCTTGACTCAATTCCAACTAAATTATCATCATAAGATGGCAAACTAGAGCATACAATGTTCCATACTGTTTCAACAATCTCTCGAATGACTTCTGCTTCATTCCTGACCCCAAAAAAAAAAAAAAAAAAACCCATGAGCTTATGATCATGAAATATAGTTCTTCACCAAAAAAAAAAATATGAATTATAGTCACAATAAAATAGAGAAACAAAAAGATGAATATTGTTCAACAAAACTAGAATGCTGCCATAGCTTTTGATATAACGTTGGGAAAAAAAAAAATATATATATATATATATATATTAACCGATGTTGATATTTAATTGGGCCGGGGCTTTAGATTTTATTACGGAAAGGGGTAGCATGGTTTTAGAAATGATAAAGAGCTTAGGGTGTGTTTGGTTGGAGGGGAGGGGAGGGGAGCCCCTCCCCTCATTTGGTTAAAAATTTTGGAGGGGAGGGGAGCTAAAATGTCCCCTCCCCTCCTCTCCCTCCCCATTTTGGCTCCTCTCCAAATTGGGGGTTTTTGGAGAAGAGCCAAAATTTTGGACCATTATGGTTTTATGGTTTTTTTGATATTCCACTTCTACCCATAAAATATATTATTATAATATTTATTTCAAATAAAAAATATATTACCCTAAGTAAAAAAAATAAAAAATATATACATTATTATAATTAAAAATATATTATAAAAATTATTTAAAAATAAAAATTATTTAAATAAAAAATTATAATATTATAAAATTAATTGTTTTTATAAATATATTATTTATTAATATATTTTAAAGCTGGAAAAAAGATAGCCTAAAGAAAATAAAATTTCATTTTTCTTAGAGCATATAAAATTTGTTAATTTGATTATTTTAAATATATTATTATATTAATTAGAATGAAAAATTACTATACCCATTTTTTAATACACATATTAACATGATAAGACTGAATTTTGATTAAATTATATAATTTAAATTAAGATGTAAATTAATTTATATAATATATCAATAAAAACATAAACTAATATGTAAGGGTAAAATGGTAAATTGATTATTACTATCCCTTCCCTCCCCTCCTTGAACCAAATAAGGGATCATTAAATACCCTTCCCTCCCCTCCTTTTTAATCAAACCAAACAAGGTGAGGATGAAATCTCCCCTTCCCTTCCCTCTCCCTCCCCTCCCCTCCCCTCAAACCAAACAGGCCCTTAGTGGAAAGTTTGACTTAAAATTTAGAACAGGGATATCATCCACTGTTCGATTATCTCATGAGCTAAATAGCAGTAGTACTATATATTTGCCACATGTCACTAAGTCAAATTTGGATGCTACTTTTGGGTTCGCTACTTCATAAACATAATTGGAAAAGGAAAAAAGTGAAAAATAAAACTCACCGACTTCTAGCGTCCCAGCCAGACAGATTGCTAACCTGCGACAAAGCGGATCTCCATTTGTGAACCTTGTCTTCGCTTTTTTTGCATTTCTTTTCATGGTTGGCTAAAGCTTTTCCGAAACTTCTTCTTTGATATCTTACATCAGATGGATCTACACCATAGAAGACAGGAAAAACTTGTCCTCCAAATTTTTTTCGAGATTCAAGAATCTCCTCAAGTTCATCCAAGCACCATATAGAATTTGCATAATTTGCGGAGAGAACAACAACAGCACAGAGAGAATCCTTGATGGCTTGAACGAGTTGTTGTTTAATAACTTCCCCTTTCTTTATTCCTTTATCATCCCTAAAACATCTGATGCCACTTCTAATGAAAGCATCACATAAGTGATCTGTGAAATTTAAGCGAGTATCTCTCCCTGCAAAACTCAAGAAAACATCAAACTCCCATGTTAAGGTTGAGCTACAAGTAAAGGAGCTCGGGCAAGATTCTTCTTTAGCGGCAGAAGACATTTCAATAAGTCGATCTCTCGGATGCATTTGTCAAAATAGTAATCTTTTTTTTTTTTTGAACCCTGAATCCAAATAGTAATCTGCAGCATCATCACATATAATGCAGTGAATAAGAAAATAGAAGTAGAAACAAAAACACCTTCGACGATGGACATAGGGAAGCGGAAGCATCCCATGCATTGTCTTGGAAGAAATGAAGAAGGTGGCTTCTACTACTCCTAGAGTCCAACGCCAGAAGAGAAGAAACCAAAGGAAAGAAAGAGAGCCTTCTGTCAGTATACGAGAGGGCAGACAAAACCAAATTTCTGTATGAATTGGAGAATTGCTTTGTATGAAAGTTGCAAGTTTTCCTCCGGTTGGGACACCAGGGGGTTGGTAAGTTTTCTTTTATATTAAAATGACTTAATCGTATTTTTATTAGTTAGTTTTTGCAATTTCTTTTTGTTTCTTATGAATTGACTTCGGCCTTTTAACCATAAGAATAAAACGAAGCGCCTGCTGTAGCAGGAGTAGACTGAAAAATACAAAAGCAAAGGGCCGAAAACAAAAATATGCGCAACAATTGATGATTTGATTCTAAAACGTTTGGACGAAAACTAAAGTTTTATGGTAAATGATTTTATGATATACAATATATGAGAAAAATTGTTTTGACTTATGTAAAAACATTTTTTCAAAGTACTTTTTTCACAAACCAACAACTTCTTTTTTTTTTGACCGTGCGCAATCTATATTTGCAAAATAAAAGAAATTTCTATATAAATCAAGATATATTTCGCACATGATTTGCACTTGCTACTTGAGTTCTTAGATAGTCTTGGACAATAAATTTTGCAATCGGAGACTTTTTAGCATTTTCCTCTTATAAAAATAGGCTAAATGAAATAAAATTTTCATGAGTATTGAACTGTATACAAATAACATTTTATCCTTCAAACTTAATAGTCAACCCATTTAGAATAATCTTAACTATCAATTATACACTCCTTGTCCTATAGGGCATTTCCAGCATCATTCAACAAACTATACCATGTCGGGAAAAAAAACAAGAAAAAGAAATATTCGTCTTCTTTAAAATGTTCTTTTGTCAATTGTCACTGGAGAATTAGAAAACATAAATAAAATGGGCCCTCTTCTTATTTTTTATATATAAAAATGTTGAGATGAGTTAAAATCCTCAAAGCTTTGTATAAGATCAGGATATTTCGACAAACTCAAAAAACACTTATAGAGACAGTTACAATCACCAAGCAAGATAGCAAGATTTATTTTTCACAATTCATTCAGCTAAGTAATAAGTTGCATTTGTTGGAAAAAATGAAAGAAATTTAGAAAGCATTATAGTGGTCAAGTATGAATGCAACAAAACACCTAAAATTTGGCTGGCCCGGTCATAACCCTCCAAGGAGAATATAGATTTCATTTGCATATGTTTCTTCATAACGACAAAAACCAACATGACCGCTGATCATCATCCTAAGGGAGGGATTATAAACTCAAGTTCTTCTCATCAAGTTTGCATCAACTGCAACAATCTATATAGCATAATATCTAATGTTTCACTCAGCTGTCGCATATTTCTATTTCAATTAATTATATATATATATATATATATATATATATAAACAATATCCATATTAAGAAACTAAAAGGACACGAGTGTTTCCAGTCATTTTCCACGTATATCTTTCATTAAGACCATTCTTATACAGCCAGACTATACTTATCCGGAAGCATTATAGCCCGTCCTATTATTCTGGTCATCATCAGTAGAAGAGCTGCTTACACACTGGGTCTCAGCATAATGCTTGGCGTTTCAACTGAGAGATCAGAATGGCCACCAAGATGATAGCGAATTTCTCCTTCCTTGGTTCTGTCTCCTCGAGCTACCATGGATGCTGCTGCTGCTGACATTCCTACCTCCATGACTTCCACCACGAGAGCTACCCTGTCCTGGAGGTGGCAGCTCAATACGGCAAACAGGACAAGAGTTATGCCGAACCAACCAGGGAACAATACAGTCGGAGTGATAAATATGGTTACAAGGCATCTTCCTTGCCTCGGTGCCTAGCTCGAATTTTTCTTGACAGACCGGACATTGTGAATCAGAGCGAAGATGCGCTCGCGTGATCTTAATAGTAGGCATTGCATCAATTGAGGAATGTGAGGCTGGAGGAGGACCTCTATGATCATTCATGGTGAGCTGTTGAATAAATGCTTCCAGTCCAGGGGCCATCAACAAACCACCAAAATCAATAGGCCTAGGTTCCCCTCCACTACCATGAAACATGAAAGAAGGGCCAGAATTGAAAAAATCCTGACTCCATTCAGGAAATAGTGCAGTATCAGACCTTTGTCTAACATCAATGTTGGGGAATTGCCCAGCTATTCTCTGCCTCCTGAAATTGTCAAAAGCATCTACAAGCCCGAATCTTGGTTCAGAAACTCTCTGCGCCATAAAGGCATGTATGGCATCAAAAAAATCGGGCATGTGATGAAAATCTTCAAGAGCGTTATATGGTTGAAACCCATGCCTCTCATTAAGTTCTTGCACAAAGCCTTCATGACAGTAAGGGCAAATGACCTCTCTGCCTTCAAGTGCAATCGGATGCCCACACTCATAACACCAGTGTGTTGGTCCGGTTGACATCCTTGCTGGTAAATCTGCAGCTAAAAGCCTGTGTACTGCACCAAATTATACTTCTTTGCATGTAATAGAAACCAATATAAAAGTTTATAAAATAAAATATTAATAAAAAGAAAGTTAATTTAGAAGCTTCAACATGTCACTGCTTCAGCTGGCTGTCAAGTCCTTTTTGGTATGCCACTGGATGTTTCATCCATGAGACCCACACTCACACACATTCAGAGGTATTCACCAGAGATAAAAATGGTAATCCATGACACGGGACAGGTGACCTCACCATTGTATCACAAAAACAAAATCAACGCTTCCCATCTCTTGATCTGAACCCTAACCTTGTTACTCAGTCAGAGACCTTAGTAATTACTCCTCTCACCCTTAAAAGAATGTCTTTCTATCAACAGACACTAGGATTGCATGAAAACTAAAAGAAACTTTCATGTGTGCATGTAAAATAATATTTATAGGTCTCACGTTAAGGGGCATCAAATATTTAGAAAAACATTTATATCAGACAACCAAACCACTTATGTCCAGGTAGTAACCATTCTCACCACTGAAAACAGAGGAGCGACTGGTGTGAAGTTGACCAATCTTTAACTCATAAGGCGCCAGAACAAATTTGACAGCTATAACAGTACATTAAACACAAGTGAAAAGGGAAAGACATACAAACACATTAAGCATCCACAGCAAACTAAGCTTATGGGACTGAAAATGACGGCCTTAAACCCGCCAAAGTAAAAGTGATTCCTTATTGGCCATTTAAGGGGGTGTTTGGAATATCAGGAACATGGTTGATCATATAATGTATGGCAGATAGGCATGGAAAGAGGTTTATTTAGTTTCATTTTATAAGGTATTGTATTGGTAGGAAGGTAGATTGTTCAACTTAGGAGAAAAACCAAACACAGGTATGGTTCACGCTTCAATATACAAGCTCACTACATCGAACCTTTGACAGCTTGAGGTATTGTCGCGCAGGCCTTTGAACTGAAAATCAACAAGTCATTTGATCCACATAATTGAGTGGAATGAACTGCAAAATTAAATAGAAAAAGTGATTTTGTAAATAGAAAGGACACATGTATCTCTAACGTGAAAGAATACTAGGAAGCAATGAGTAGTGACACTGACAATAGAACTATAATAAACGTATATCTCGCGTATGCAAAGAAAGAGCAATCATCTTCCATTACTGATAACATACGGAAATTGTGCAAGTTTCATCACTTTCATGATCATAGGCACATTGAACTTTTTACGCAACTAGACTGACTTGGGAACACAGGTATTAGATGCTACATATCATGCCTCAAATATTCCAGCTCGGGGGTTGCAATGGGGAAAGATAAACAGACAAATTGTTGCTTCATTTCGGTTATGAACACAATAAAGTACAGGCAGAACACAGAGAAACATAATGCATCGTGTTCATTTGAAAATAATTCATAATCCCGACGAATTATGAGGAAATTATTAAAATTTTTGGGAGTAGCAAACTTCATGCAACCGGAATAAGGAAATTCAAGCGCAACATAGCATTCGTTATCAATAATCACTGACAAAGACAGCAAGCACAACAACAGAATTAGCGTATAGATACACAAAAAGAAAACATAAAACTAATAACAGAACCCCAAGAGGAAGCAAAATCAAGAATGAATCCGACAATTGTCCAATGACAAAAATCTCAACTTGGGGACTAAACTTGAAAAATAAACTAATAAAAAACATGGTGACTGCCGACTAAAAGTATAGATAGACAAAAAGGAAATCAGAGAAAAGAAGCTTAAAACGTGGAGCTGGCGTACTAACCCGAATTTGGGAAGATGCAAGAGAATTCAGAACAGAGAAGCGCAAGATTCCAAGCCCCAGAGCGGGCGATAGTACGAAGAGTGTCGAAGAGAGTGTGGGGACTGGGGAAAGAGGGAATGGAATTTTCCGGAAAAACTGAGTTCTTTTTCGATCCTTTTTTGTATTTAAAGTTCATGGAAATTCGAGAATAAGATGAACAGATCTTAGTAAATAGCCTTTGCTCTTTAATATAAGATCTTATTTGATTTTTATTTTGATCCTACATATAAAATCTCAATCTATTTTTTCTCTCATATTTATACATTTTTTCTCAAATTAATCCTTCTAACAATGGTAGTTCTAGCCAATATACTAGTAAGGATGTCTTAGGAAAAACAACACATATTTTTTACGAATAACTAACTTAACTTCTCTCCTTAATCTCCTCAAATTAGTCAAGTAGCTCTTATAATTAGTACCAGGAGTAGTACTAAATAAATAATTATGAAGAATAATTAAATTTTTATTTTATTATTTTTTATTATTTGCATTGAAAATTATTCATTATAAAAATCCTGGAATATATGCAACAAATATGCTATCAATGAGAATAATTTATGAAAAAAAATTATAAATTAAATAGATAAGGTGAATTGAGGAGTTTACTAGAGAGAATTTAATTAATTTATTCGTTTAAGCCACGCCTTATCTTACCAGATGAAATTGTTTAGACGTGTTATTTGAAAATTGAATTCTTCACAGCATGTTGCCAACAATCCACGAATTTAAAGCATAATCTGTTTTATTTATGACTTATAATGATATACTTTATTATGAAATTTGTTGGCAGAAACATTTATTATGAAATTTATATTTTATGTTAGTTAGTTAAGATAAAAGATAAAAAATGAGAGAATATTTATTTCTAAAAAATTATATAATAAACACGAAATTTATTTTTTCCTTCTTTGAAGGCTTTTAGTCCAATTAGCTAAGAGCTAGCACATAAATTAAATTCATTAAAAATTGTACAATCTCAAAAATATTTAAAAACAATTTGTTTATCTTTAAAAAAACTAGCTAATTTTTTTAATACAAAACAAACTCGCTAATTATCTGGACGCTAGAGTCGGAGGTAATATTTAGTGTTCTCTTAGTTGATATAAAAAAAAAAAAAAAAGAATTGTTTTGGAAAAATTGTAAAATTGTCATCGTCAAAAATTTATTAGTAAGAACAACGTAAATCAAAATAACAGTATCAATGTACATAAAAATTCGCTGACCACTATTACTTTCTGGATATAAAGATTTATTAGCTCTCCTCACATATAAAATTTTTAGTAGGAAAATTTTCCCAATTTTTCGTATTTACTTTCCTCTGAGCTGAAAAATAAAGACTGATAAAAATGACAAATATAAAGTGGTCTCGCTTTAGTATTCTCAGTCGCAATAAAGCCCACCTCCGCTAAAATTCTATTATCATTATTCTTGCTTTGGAAAGTTCTTTGGAATTGTTATTTTTATTTTTCAATATTTAAATTTTATAAAATATATAATAAAAATACTTAAAATAAAAATAAAGTTGTGTAAAATTTAACAAATAAAAAAAATTGCAACAGAATCTAAAAATTGTCATCTTACTCCTTCTAGTTCTAAATATAAAAGTTACTGTATAGTATAAATTACATTACAAAATACAAATGTTACATTGTAACCAGGTGTTAACTTCAGTCTTAACTGGAAAAAAAAAATATCCGAGCCTAAAATATAAATTAATAGTACAAATTGCCATTAATAACGCAGACAAGTTACCGCTTAGAACTGTAAATCACATGTTCCACATACTGTTAGAAAATTATACTAAATATAAGTAGCATTCTAATTTGAATAAATTAAAGAAAAAAAAGATTACAAATATTACATGTCACTATTCCTTTTTATAAGAAAAATTTAACCAAATCATTGTTAAAATTTATTAGAGACAAGCAAAAATGATAAATTTTCCTTAAAAATACTCTTATTCGAAATAAAAGGGATTATGAAGAGAAGAAAATGTCTAGTGAAAATTATTTCTTATAAAAGAGATAAATATACATCAATTTATAATTAATTAATTAATTTAAAATATACATAAATACAAGATCCAACATGAATTAAAAATTAAAAATCATATAATCTGAAACCACAACTAACATGCATCAAAATACTTCATTATTTACGAAAAAATATAAATCAGACAGACATCAAATAAACGTATTTGCAACACCACAAAAAAAAAAAAGCAATATTAAGGGAACATAAATATAAATGACAACTGTCACCACAAAATAATATAAATGTCAATTCTAAGAATCACCGACCATAGTTCACTCCAATAATATTTTGAGAAAATATTTGATTAGAATCCTTATCTATCATACGTATAAATTATGAATCCTTATCTGCCAATTTTTCCAACCAAAATCAAAGGGATGCACTCTGCCCATAAACGTCAATCCCATTCATCTATGTAAGCGGTTTACAAGGACACTATTTGAGGAAGCACCATAACACAATTAAGAATACTCAAGATATATTCCTTCTCTTCATAATTTCTAGTAACAAAACGAACATTAAAACAGAAACAAACACAACGATAAACGAGGGTTATTAACCAAGAACAGATAAATCAGCCGCTTGAAAATGGCCACACTTATGTCCAGCAAAGAAACCTTAGATTTTGTTGAACGCAACAATGTCACAACTCTGAATATACTCACTGCATGGCTCCACTGTAAGCTGTTCCTCAATAAGGGAATCCACAGAGACAAGGTCGTCAACAATGGTCATCATTATCTGCATCTTCTTAATACCGTAACCAACAGGAGCTAGTTTGGCTGCAAAGGTTTGAAACAAAGCATTTGTTCACATCGTATACTTCGTTTTAAATGAGTCAGAAAATGAGCAAGGCAACGGTGGTTAAAAAAATTCAACATACATGCTCCCCACAGAAGCCCAGGCATCTGAATCGAACGAACAGCCTCTTCAAGCTTCTTCATGTCTGTCTCATCATCCCAAGGCTTCACATCAAGCAGAACAGAGGACTTCCCACCTACAAAACGCAGATAGATGACGGTATTACTCTCAGCAAGGATAGTTGAAAGAAAAGTCTGGTTAATATAAACCTACAAGTAAAACCCCAGCACTAAACAAAATGAACCTCCTGGATGGCAGGACCAGTAGGTAGGTTAATGAATTAGATGCTTCATGTACCACAAATTAAAGTTGAAAGAAGTCTTACTCTCTTTCTTCTTGGAGGATTCCTTTTTAGTAGCCTCCCTTGCCTCTGCTGCGGCCTTTTCTTCCTCTGTCTCATCACCAAAGAGGTCAAGGTCATCATCGTCATCAGCACCAGCCTGCAAATACACAGGAATCTAATTAGGAGAAGCATTTCACAAAAGTACAAGTACAGTACAACAATTACCTTATCCAGGACATTTGACTTTGTCAAGCATATCACAAAATTTCAAGATTCAGGTACCAGCCTATGTGTTAACATGAGATATTACAATTTATCTCATCAAGATTACAAGTTGGATCTTTCTAATTTGCTCATCAAAACAACAGCCTTTCTAGTGTCAATCAAAGCTATGTTTGACCCTCTGCTTAGCTTATCATGGCATGTTTGGTATAATAATAGAAAGAGATTCTCTTTACATTGTAGCCTTCTCCTTCTTTAATCTGAAGACAGGGGTGTCATTTTTCATCTCTGAACTTTTTCAGATGCATTTTAGGGTACTTAAAGAGTGCTAGGAACTGAAGAAAACCTACATCTCAGGCCAAACAAGAAACAGCCTAAATCCAATGCATTTATACACACTGACATAACTATCAGTATGTTAACTCAGTAAATTAAAGAAAGAAAATCCGACCTAAAAACCGCTAAAAAGTAACAGTCACAATCGTAAAAAGAAATTCAGAGAAACAATAAAGAAATAACAAAACACAAAATCAAGTGAGAGGCATACCGGGTTGGCAGGTGCAGCTTCAGCTGACGCAGCCTGGCCACTGAAACTCACCCCTTGAGCTTTTCCAGGGAAGCTAAGCATACAAACTCGTTATCAACTTCCAAATTGAATAAGATTGAGAACAAACGAAAGGAACCTAGCCCATCTGAACATTGAAGAGAGATAAAGGAACAAACCTTTCAACAAGACGTGACGAGACGGCATCGTACCACTTGCTGGCATTCGGAAAAGCGTCGCTCGGGTTCTTTACAAAGGCATAGACTTTAATGTCATCCTTGGTCAACTGATCCCTGCAAATTCAATCAGAACCACAAGAGATTGAGAATTGAAGAAATCTCGAGCGAATTAGTTCAAAAACGAAAATCAAATCGGAGAAAGTTACCCAGATATGTAGGTCTTGCCAGAGAGGAATTCATTGAGGGACTTGAGTCCTGATTCCGTGTGGAGATCTGAGAAGGTGACGGCCATTTTGAGAGCAGATTAGTGAGACTCAGAAGCTCTCAAATCAGCACGCAAGAGGGAAGCAAGGGTACGGAGCTAGGGTTTAGCATTTATATGAGAAGGTGCAAACCCTAGATATGCTGAGAGTCAGCTTAATGAGCATATTCTTTCATGCTCTACTCGCAACCTCTCATCATTTCGTTTTCTCGGGAAAAAAGGAAAAAAGAATTGATATTTTTTCATCAAAACAAATACTTCTTATGTTCTTAATATAGGATCTAATTATTAAGGTGATTTTGATCCTAAATATAATGCTTATTTAATATATTTATCAATTTTTTTTCTAAATTACCTTTATAGATACTCTTTCAACCATAATCAAATAGAAAAAGAAGAAAAGATATTAAGGAAGATAATTATAATGTTTTAGAAAAAAACATATTATATTTCTTATAATTAACTAACTTACCTAACTTTTTTAATCTAATCAAATTATTTAAATAGATTTTATATTAAAGACCGAAAAAGTATTGATTCTAAAAAATGAAACAAACTTATGCATATACGTGTGTGGTCATAGTTCACAAAATTATATATTTTGATATTCAAAACCGTTTATTTTTTCCCTATTGATCTCAGTTTTATTATGAAA